ACAAATATGAGAAAAGGAAGAAAATGGAAACAAAGTCTTTGCAAATAGGGAAGGGTGGAGGGTGTGAAGGGAGGGCAGGGGAAGGGGAAAAAATATGAGAAAAGGAAGAAAATGGAAACAAAGTCTTTGCAAATAGGGAGGGGCGGAGGGTGTGAAGGGAGGGCAGGGGAAGGGGAAAAAATAAGAAGAACCAAGATACTCATGTAAAGGTACAAGATCCCAATCAAGAATGTAACTGTATTTTATACCTAAAATGCACCAATAAACTTAATGGGAAAAAAAAAATTCTGCATGAGCAAATTTCAAATCTCTGTACGTTCTGCATTAAAGTCAAGGTAGAATATCCTGAGACTGCCATAAAAGCACTGAAAAGCCTGCTTCCATTTCCAAGATCCCATCTTTGGGAAGCACGGTTTTCTACGGTGACAGCAAACAAAACAAGATTATGAAAGAGACTGGACATAAGCTGCACAGCTTGGGTATCACTGTCTCCCGTCACTCCTAGATAGGACTGCCAAGTTGTAGTACAATAAGTCCAGGGTTCCCTCTGATTCTGCACCATGGCAGATTGTATAATTATTCCATAATATATTATAATGTATTGCTTCTCCGCCTTTTGGCTAAGATCAAGTATAAATTACAATGTAATAATTATAAAGTGTATAATAAGTGCAGTGTACTTGAACCTTTCTGAAACCACCTCCTCCCAGCCCATCCATGGAAAAACTGTCTTCCATGAAATTGGTCACGAGTGCCAAAATGGTTGGGGACCACTGATAAACAGTATTTATAATTCTTAAAACTAGGTGATGATTAAATGTGCATATACAATACTACTTTCTCTTCTTTGTTTAAATGTTTTCATAATAAGTTTTTAAAAGACCCTGCTGTTTGGTATATAAGCAATTATTTTTCTTATTAAATTTATAGCATTAGTGAGTGAAAAAATTTTAAGTAGGAGGGAAAAAAACATCATGCAACATATTTCACTTACCATGAATTCATAAAAAGTAGAGAATTCAAATTCTGAGGTGGTTTATAAGCAACAAAAATATTAAAGACTCAATTACACTCACTAATTTTTCTACACTTCTAATACAATTGACTTACAGCCTTTTAGCAGTTTGATGTAAACATGGACTCATTATTAAATTAATACTAACTAAAGAGTAAATAAAATTCCACAATTCTTAGGCAGTTCAAGCATTTCACATTTTTGTGCAACTCACCTGCCGTAAAATCTTCAGTCAGATCAATAAATGCATGAGAATGTGGAATTCGCATTTTACTTTTAGTGGTCAAAGCAGGATGCCATGATAAATTTCTAAAATGTAAAATAAAAAAATGTTCTTAGAGTAATATCAAATGAATATTATTTCAAAATACAAAGACATGGATGGAAGACTATATATCAATATAACGGAGTATTATTCAGTTATAAAAAGGAATGACATTGATACGTGGTACAATAGAGATAAACTTTAAAAACATAATGATCTATGAAAAAGGCATATACAAAATAGATGAGTTGCCAGTAGGGAGCAAGGGACAATAACAGCTTAGTGGCGTAAGGTTTCCTTTTGGAGGGATGGAGTACAGGAACTAGATAGAGCTAATGGTTGCACAACATTGTAAATGTCTTAAGTACACTAAATTGCACACTTTATTGTACACTAGAGACCATACAACCAATGAAATGGGTTAGTTTTGATATCTGAATTCCATCTCATTAGAATGAAAAAACCAACAGTGCCAAGTTTCTATGTATCCCTCATTTAGGCTCAGCTAGTATTAACATTTATATAACCATTGTAACCCAAATCAGAACATACTATAAAACTGATAGACTACTATAAAGAAGGAAGAACGAGTTTACATCATTCCCCTACAGTTACCTATCAGGTAAGAACTCTTCAGACTTAAAGGCATTTCCACCTATTAAGACAGCCTCAAATCAGCTTCTTCCAAAAGGTTTTCTCTCCTTGTTTTCCTATTAAATTTTTCTCTTTGAATAGCATTTTGGTTGGTATTAAAGTTACTAGCAGAATTTTCTCTTTGATCTTGTAAAACTCCTCCAGAAACTCTGGCTCATATATATTTATATCTGCAATGCCTAACCAGAACCTAACTTCTATGAAATTCTCAGCAGTCAACTGTTATTTCTTATTCTCTATTTCATTTGAAGTCACTAATTTTTTCATTAGTATGTTCCAGTCCAACATGGAACCACAGATATGTCATCTTCAAAAAGAAACGTGAGGCTAATTAAATTCAACTTAATTGTACATACAGTATGCAACTGACTGGATAGGAAACAAGGTATGATTTGTGAATTTAATTTTGATGACTTTATAGACACACAATAGACTGAGATGAACTAGCACTTATCCCAGAGGCAAGAAAAATCCAGTCTTCCTGTACTGCTTCACTTGCTTTGTTTTCCTTCTTAGTCCTTTTCAATATTTGAATTTGTATCTCTTAAGGATATGGATTGCAATCTTGCTTTCTTGAACATTTAAAAGGAATATTCAAGTTCTTCACAGTATTTTGTTTTATATTTTTTGTCTATGCTCTTCTATTTTATATTTATATCACTTACAAGGCAGTAGCTGACTCTCAGAGTTTATTTTATACACAGCTCTCTGATCACAATGGAAGAAATAGCAGAAGTGAAAAAGTAGGCAGTTCTAAGCCATATTAAGTATATTCACTGACATTTTTGAACCTCTCAGAAAATTTTAATTAGCATTTCACCCCACAGAAAACACAATTACAGCAAAGTGTTCTAATTTGTATTATCACTCTTAATTTCAAAGAATAGCATGTATCAAACGATGACTTTAAAAGTAATTAATGTCAATTGTAGCTTTTGGTTGCCTATGGTAACTACTCTTTGAAATGACTATTATCTCACCCAATTTTCATTGATTGGCTCATACTGAACTGTCACTATTTAACATATTCAGGTAAGAGCAGATACTAGGATATAGGTTTGGTATGAAGAAGAATCTACTTCTAGCTCACTGATCTTCAAACATTTTAGCTCAGATATGCTCTAAAAATTGTTTTAAAAAATATAAACTCAACACAATTAATCTTTGCACCTATTAGATTCATTAAACTTTTAAAGTAAAATGATTACTTTAAAAAGGTCTTCTTTAATATTCAGAAATTATATATCTTTCCCTTTTATTTCTGAACTTTTACTTCCACTCCTTTTTTCTTAAGAGAATTTTATCATGATGTAAAATGTTTTCTGTATTTAAAGTCCTTTCACTGATGACTCTAGTGTAATTCTCTAAACAAGAGTATGTCTATAAAGTGAACTGTAAATTAAAGTTGTTATTACGTTGGTTCTCTGTTTGGATGTCAGTATTGAAAAAATCTCTTCGAAGTTGCTTTATTTTAACTACTAGTACAGAAGTGAAGAAAAGACATATGATATAATTTGATAACTTATTAAATCAAAGGTAAAATTTTATTAGAAATCCATTTTAAAAGGGATGAATGAAGCTTTAAAATACATTAATTTATTTATTCTTAAGAAATGTCTCACTGCATGAATGAAACAGAATTCAGCCTAAGGTCTATTCGTACTTTTCACTTTTTACAGATATAAGTGCTAAGACATTTTCATATAAGTAGGTAGATTAAAATGAATGGGTATTTATTATAGCAACGACTCAATTCTTTGAATTCCTTTGTAGTCAAGTTAAAAAAAATCACATAATTTATCTTTCATCAAAAATAATTTCTAATATGCTATCAATTAGATCTTCCTTCAAGCTGTTGCTAGAAAGTACCTGGAAATGAAAAGGTATATAATCTATTCATTACAGCCAGCTATATTCTCAATTTTTAAGTATACAAAAGGCCTTACTAAAGATTTATCTAACTATTAGCTATGCCTATTACTCTACATTTAGAGAAAATGTTTTTAATCAGATGTACTAAAAAAGAAATTGGGGAATCAATCTTTTTATTTTATCTTTGGCAATATTATATATGCATATATTTTTAATAAAATGTTTTTATGTTATATGTTAAGAATATTTTCATCAAACTCTTCCTGAAATTTTAATACAAGAAACTATCCTTAATTTTTTAATGTGATAAGTGGGTTATTGCACAATTATGTATATGCTACCACTATTTTTTAAAAAATCCTTATCTTTTGTAGATATGTAGAAATATTTGTATATTAAAGATGTCTAAGCAGGTATGTACAGAGATAGGAGAAATGCCAGAAAAAGGTGTGGAAAACTTTACTGGTCACGAATTGGCAATTGGTCAGGCTAGGTAATAGGAACATTGCATACAAATTTATTGTTTCATTCTCTCTACTTTTCTAAATGTTTGAAATTTTCCCCCCAAAAAGCTAAATATAAAAACAAATTTAGAGCTGGTGATTTATTTTGCTCAATTAGGGAAAAGATTGGCCATATAACCCAATCAGAAAAGTCAGACATTACTGTCATATCAATCTCCAAATGAAAGTTACTTTTGGACCAAAAGAAACCTAGTTTTCCAATTAAAATAAATGTGTTAATATGTATTCCCAGGGATGTTATAAAAAGTGCTGAGACATTACAGAATATATTTTGTAGGACAGATTACTGAAAGCAGTCAAGATTAAAATAATACAGTTTTGATAAAAGTAATTTATCAGATTTTATAAAAATACATTATAAAATCAAGATAGTAAGGTAATATGCTCTTTGTCACTAACTTGTTATTTTATGAGAAGTATGATAAAGGACACAATTGTCCAGTAAATGTGCATATACTAAAAAAATAATGTGCATATACTGAATTCTGGGGTCTGGTTTTTGGGACAGAGTAATTAAATAAAAATATAATATAAAAATCAGAAATAAGTCAGGCTTGTTGGCACAAACTTCTAATCCTAGCCACTGTGGAGACTGAGGCAGAAGGAAGCCAGTTCAAGCCCAGTCTGGGCCACTTGGCAAGAACCTGGATCAATAAAAAGGGCTGGGAATATATAGCTCAGTGGGAGAGTATCTCTGGGTTCAATTCTCAGTAATCCCCCCAACCCTCTAAAAGGAAATAAAAATAACACCATTTATCTTTTCATTTCATTGAACACAAGAAACTTCCTATGACTAACAAAAAAGGTATACACTGTGAAAATTACTTTGCTCAGAAGCTAGAATGTAAATTTATTTTTTATTAATAGAATACAGAAAATAGAAAGCATAAAATTTCCAAAGATGAAATAAGATGCTTGACATTAAATGGTGTTATATTGATATGATAAAATACAATGCTCATTACAGAAAAGCCCACATACATATGAAAGAAATTGTGTAAAAGTTTTATCTATGGATTTTTCAGTCCTAGAGAACATGCAAGTCACACCTGAAATAATTACTGTCAATCATTCAAACTTACTTTGGCAAGAAGTGTACCTTTCCAGTGAATGGTGTATCCTAGGGACAGAGTACTAAGAGGAAGGGGTGCTTTGTGGAATTTGATAGTTCTTCAGGGTGCTTACTTTGCTTTGCTCTCCCAAGGCTCTCTCTCAACAATGATGGATTCTTTGACCACAAAGGGACATGGAAGAGGCAAAGTCATTAAAACAAAAACTGCCATGACTACCACAGCCTCACTCCAGCATGTCTGAATTAGAATATCTCAGTATGGACCAAAATGCCTCCTTTTATAGCCAAGCCTCATCCTGTGAAAAATATATCTAAGAGAAAAATTGGAAATTTAGAATATCTTGATTAATTGTAAAAGAAGATTTCTCCTGTGTTTGATGCCTATGAGCTTTTACTCTGCAGGAAATGTATCATTAGTAAGTGTTATGGTTTGTAACTAGATATTCCCCAAGAGCTTCATGTGTTCTTAGGTGGGGCTTGTGGAAGGTGATTAAATCATGGGGCAGTAATGCAGTGCATCACCTGGAAAGACAGATCTCCCTCCCAGCTCCTCTCTCTTTCTGCATCCTGGCCACCTTGACTTAAGCAGCTCTCCTCTCCCAGTCCCTATCACCATGCCTTCCTCTTTGGAACCAGCCAACTTTGGACTAAAAATGCCTAGGGCAGTGATGGTGAACCTTTTAAAGCTTTCAGTGATATAAACAGCCCACTTTGGCATGTGTGCAGTAGGTTTGCCATGAGTGTTCTTGGGTATTGTGTCCCACCCAGCCATGGGAAGTGACTGAGAGTTAAGATTTAGGAAGGGTAAAGAATATGTTATTCTCATGTGAAGGATGAGAAAGTTAGAGTGAAAATGGAGACTACTCAGGCATGTCTAACCTGAGGGCTGCTGGGGTTTTTTTTGGCCTTTTTAAAATGTTGC